CCCCCGTTAGACCCCCCGAACCCGGCACCGGTGTCCCGGGAGCGGCTTCCCCGGGCCGCCGCGGCACGGGAGCTCGCTGCGTGGGGTGGGGGTCGGCCGTTCCTCCCGCCGTGGGGACCCGCGCGCCGGCCGGTACTGCCTAAAATGAACACACACCCCCCACGCCGTGTTTCCGCAGCCCGGCGTCGGGGGGGCCCCGCCGTGCCCTTCACGGCGAGTCCGCACAAGCACGGCGGTACGGGGGTGGGCTGGTCAGAGGTGCGGTGTAAGTAGGGCACGCGTGGGTGGCCATAGAGAGGTGCGTGGGGAGGGGCTGTGCGGCTTGGGAGGGAAGGAAATGCACGTTTTCCACCAAAACGGGTGCAGGCTCTGACCGAAGCCAGTCGGGGCTGCGCAACGGGTGTCTCACGCTTCATCTCTCCTGAGCCAACCTGTCTGACCGACGGAGGATCCGGCGTCCGTGGGGGTTTTGTTCTTACACCCGTGTTTCCAAAGCCCTGCGCTGGAGGCACGGCCAGAAAGAAAGGGGGTGTGGGAGCGCAGGTGCTTGCTAAAAGCGCTTTGCAAGAGCAATCGTGTGAATGCCTCGGTTACTGCCAAATGTCAGGCTGAACGGGTTCCTCTGCTCAGCCAGGTCACAAGCCAGTGCCTGCCTGTGGTGGGTTGACCCCGGCTGGACACCAGGTGCCCACCCAGCCGCTCTGTCACTGCCCCCCTCTGCTGGGCAGGGGAGAGAAAGTAGAACAAAAGGCTTGTGTGTCGAGATAAGGACAGGGAGATCATTCACCAATTACCGTCATGGGCAAAAGACTCAGCTTGGGGAAATCAGTTTAATTTGTTACCAATCAAATCAGGGTAGGATAAGGAGAAATCAAGCCAAATCTTAAAATCACCTTCCCCCCACCCATCTCTCCTTCCCTGACTCAACTCCACTACCGAATTCTCTACCTACCCCCCTCAGCAGCACAGGCAGACAGGGAATGGGGGTTTCAGTCAGTTCCTCACATGTTCTCTTTGCCACTCCTTCCTCCTCAGGGGCGGGACTCCTCACTCTTCCCCTGCTCCAGCATGGGGTCCCTCCCATGGGAGACAGTCCTCCACGAACTTCTCCAACATGGGTCCTTCCCACGGGCTGCAGTTCTTCACGAACTGCTCCA